AACAATAATTTCTTCCCTTTTCTTTCTTTTCTTTTCAATGATAAAATGTAAGAATTAATATAAGTAATTAGGTTCTTTCATTTCATCATTTTTTTTCTTTCTATCGTTTGCATATATACACCTATATGTCATCAATGATTATACATTCATTCAATTAATTACTTGAATTATATTTTATTAATAGCTAATTAAATTACTTAATTTATAATTTTAGTAATACTTATAATTTTGCTAATAGTTAATAATATAATATATAGTGATATTGCGCTAATTTACAGTAATCACATTATTATCACTTATAATTTTACTTATGGTTAATTTAAAATGTTAAATAAAAAAAATTGTTGGAAATATTTTATGCAGTAATTGGATTCCGTTTTTCCTTTTCCAATTTTAATTTCAGTTTCAGTTTTAACTTTTTCCTTTTGTTTGTTAATTTATCAAGTATTTTATTTTTATTTATCTTTTTTCTGAAAAATCGCTTTATTTTTCAGTGTAGAAACGAAACGAAAAATTTGAATAATTAATTTAATACATTTTTTTTCTTTTTGCTCATTAAATTTCAGCCTGGCAATTATGTCGGCCCATTTAGCTGCTTATTCCGCGGTAGCACTAAGTATATGCGCATTGGTAGCATGCCTTATGTTCCTTCCTCTTTTATATAGTAAGATCTCGGAAATTCAATATGATCTTGAGTTGGTATGTTTTATGAAATTATTTTAATATTTTAAAAAATTACTAAAAAAAAATCCAGTATGATCTTAAATTGAATGTACATTTTATAATATTTAAATGTTGCGTTTTGAAAATAATTTTAAATTTTGATTAAAATTAACGAAAAATTCTACAAGTGCGTGTAATTTATTAATGAAAAATATTAATAGAAAAATTTAATTGTAATTATATATAAGATTTTCCGTCAGTAATATAACGTTTTCAAATAATATCGTGAAATTAATAGAAATTTATTAAATGTCTTTACTTACACCTATACTTGTTCTTGTGTACCGTTTGAAAATTGCAGGTATACGTGATACGTGTGCTTATGTAGTGTTTAAAAATCACATGTATTATTTTAGTACGCAATAATTGATTAATAAAGTTTAATAAAAAAAGTTGATTTTTTTAAATGTCGAGTTTTTTGTTGATTGCCTAAAGAAAAATGTTACGAACTTTACTTGATTTTTTCTTCTATTTAAAGCATAGTATTCACATTTGCTTATAAAAAATATTTGAATGTGACAACTCTGTTGACAAATTAACAGCTCATTCATTAGACTTTTTCTTGTTTCCTTTTTTTTTTTTGAAATCAATTGACACCAAAAATATACAATCACATTATTGCCACTAATTTGTATTCTAAACACCTTTAAATGTATGCCAATTAAAAATTAAAAAAAAAAACTTCAAAAAAGTGAATAGTTGAAAAATTTAAAAACTTCATTAATTAATCATTTTCTTGATTCACTTTGTTAACTTTGTTGCAATAATTCAAATTAATCATGCCTATTTATAATATTGCGAAAACGATAAATAAAAAAAAATGAAATCATTTAATTGATTAAGTAGAAGCAAAATTAGAAGAAATGATCGGAATTAGGCAAATCAACAATAAAGTTGACGTTAATTAATGATTAATTAACTCTAGTAATTTTTTTTAAATCCACAGTAAATCATCAAAAAGAATTGCTAAGCAAAACAAAGGAAAAAGCTTTTTTTCGTTTCACATCCAAATATTGCCAATTTACGTGTAATACGTGAATTATAAAATAAATACACAACAAGATATAAAATTTTGTCAGTATGACTTGAAGAGACAATCACAAAAATATTTTTTTATATTTGCGCACTTGCTAATGTAAGTGTAAGCACAAATGTATCACTGATATTGTTTAATAATTTGATAACGATATCAATCAATTCTAAATTATTATATTTGAAAAAGTTAAAATTTATCAGGATATGGAAGAATTTCGAGGATTACAAAATGAAATTTATTTCCAAGCAAAGGGACAAAGTATTGCACTAGGCTATTCGACATATGCTGGATATCGAAAGAAACGTGGCCTGGCATATCCAGGCCAATGTCGTAAATTGTTTTTTTTTCTTCCTTCATTTATAAGAAAAGAAGAAAACTTCATTTCTCGAAAATTTGAATAGCTTATGAGAGTTAAGAGAAACGAATCTATTTAAAATATTTAAAATTTTTAATTTTAAAATAATGAGCGATGTCATCAAACCAAGTAGCAATGATATTAAATTAATTAGTAATAATATTCCTAATTTTAATTTTCATTATTTTCTAGAATGAAGTTTCCCGTATTTTGGATGAAATTACTTATTGTAATCGTAATTTCAGGATGTGATGCTGCAGCACCATGTCCTCCAGGTCCACCTGGTCCACCGGGTGAGCCAGGAATGGATGGTGTTGATGGAGAACGTGGACCACCAGGACCACCAGGATTACCTGGTAATTATCCACCTGTATATGTGGATATCAAAGCTAACTGCCGTATATGTCCACGTGGTCCACCGGGTTTCCCAGGTATGTATAGGTTCCTTCTTCATCAAACTATAGCATTGGAGCAATTCATATAGTGATTATTTGAATAAAGTTTAAAATATTCATACATGTTAGATAATATGATAACTTTCAGGTCAACCGGGCCCTCCAGGAGAAGTCGGAGAAAATGGCCCGCCAGGACCACCTGGATACCGTGGTGAACCTGGACATGAAGGTCAACCCGGTAGTCCTGGACCAACAGGTATGTAATTCTCGTGCGTTTTTGCAAATTATCCATGGCATATCTTCACAAATGAACTTTGTTGTGACAATCTAACAAAAATAATATTGTGAGTTTATGATTAACATTGTGTTGCAGGTGAACCTGGTCCAAACGGCAAAAATGGTGCACCAGGTTCAGCAGGACGAAGTGGCGTACGAGGTTCCAAAGGAGAACCGGGACCACCAGGAGCCAAAGGACCACTTGGACCACAAGGATTTCCAGGTCCGGATGGAAATGACGGAAATCAAGGCTTCAGCGGAACACAAGGACCACCTGGACCACCAGGTGAACCAGGACCAAATGGTCCATCAGGTTTCAGTGGTCCAGTGGGTCCACCAGGAGCACCAGGAAGTGATGCATCCTACTGTCCATGTCCACCACGACGTACCACTGTTGCATAATCCATTTAATGATAGTAATATCTTGGAATTATGTTTTTTATACTGCTTTACCAATATTATAATCAATGCTTTCAAATTTACCTTACTACTAGCTTTTCATCTCTTTCTCTGGCATTAAAATTATTCAAGTAATTTTAGCACTAGCAAAAATTATCTGGGAAAATTTAAAATTCTACAAATTTTGCAAAAATGCAAATTTTTCTCTCTTCAAATTTCATTTTTTTAAAAACTATTCTCAGTACCTATTATGAATAGATAAATAAATACATATATAAATACATATATATAAACAGATAAATAAATACATATATAAACATATATATGTAATAAACCAGCAAACAAATAAGCAAATAAATGGATATATAAATGAATAAACACAAACACATATATTTGTTTATTTGTTTATTTACTTATAATAAGCATTGAGAATATAAAAATATAAAAAACAGATTTTGATATTTTATAATAAGTACTACAAAATCCTGTCATTTTGAAATGAGTGGTTGAAATAAATTCAATTATTTCAATAGGGAAAGATTTTAAAATTTTCCAATGAAATCATTTGTTTGAATACTGGACGACCAAAAAATTTGTAATGAAATCAAATGACAAATAATTTTACACTTTAATATCATGAAATTTAATATACTGATTAAAATCAATTAGGTATCGTTTGATTAATCAATAGTTCAGCTGTATTTTTGTTATAATATTTTGTTCTGTTTACTTTTGCTGTGATTAAAAATATCGTAGTATTATAATTCGTTATTTCAATAAATTTGTCAAATATGATGAATAATTCAATAATTTCATACCATTGGATAAACTAGTGACCATTCGTAGCAAGCAATTATTAACCATTAAAAGCAAACATAAATTAGTGATTATTAAAGACAAAAACAAATTAGTGACCAATGAAAAATTTCTATGTTTCCGGAAATATTCTTAAGAAATGATTATTACCAGTAAATCTCTAAATTTTTTTTCTCTCTCTCTCTTCCTGATCACTTAACAATCCTAGTAAGTTTAATTTGAACCAAATATCTCTACTTGAAGAGGAGTAGTTTATAGAGTCAATCTTTTTTTTTTTTTTGCATAAGATCAATAATTGCTTGAAATAACCGGCCTTAATTAGCATACAACAATATTATCCCTTCAAGGTAAAATGACTCTGTGCATATTTTCATAGCAAACGATAAGAAATAAAGTTAATTAAAAAATAAAAAAATTGTCATCATTTCTTATCAAAAAGAGAAGTTGGACATTAAAAATTTGATAAAATTCAAATTTCTTCGTTTGCAGTCATTATTTTAATTAATTATTATTAAATAGGAATCTTCTATATTTAATGATACACTGATTAAAAATATTTGGCCATAAATGTGTTTGAATCTATTTCATTTTATCAATGCAAGTTATTTTTGAATAAGTACATTTTATTTCTCACAAGGAATTAAATTTCGAATTGATTAAATATAAAAAAGAAAAAGATATCATATCAGAGAAAATGATCAGCAAATAATATATAATACATATTTTGAAAAATAATAATAATGATAACAGTTTGGTAATTTATCATTCATTTATAAGTTGAACATATAAGTTCTTTTTTTCTCTTAAATTTGTTCATATCATTGTTAACGATTTCAATTTGTTTATTTCTTATCATATCGCATCTTATTGTATTTCATCGTATCCGATCAATGTAGTTAAAAAGGATCAATAAAAGAGATGGAGAATAAAGTCAACTTTTTCAAATTAAACCAGTTTCTGTTAAATTGACAGAATTTAATTAATCATCTATTCTTTTCAAAATTTTCATCATCTTTCATTTCACCCTCATTCATCATTTCCACATTTCATGGAAATCTATGCAATTCATATCGACAACAATAAATTTTCATCAGAAGAGAAAGAAGAAAAACTGTTTTAGATTTAGAAAACTGTTTAACAAAACAAAAAGGAAAAAAAGAAAAGATACAGAAGTATGGAAAAAAGACCGGAAAAGAAAACTAGCAGATTAAAATTGATTTCCTAGTAGCAACATAGATGTAGATGAGATTAATTTAATCATGAAAATAAAAAAAAACGAAAAATAAAAACTGACGAATTGAAATTATATTCTCACAACATAAATATAGATCAGATTAATTTAATTATGAGAATAAAAAGAGGGAAAAAAACCGGAAAACAAAAACCCGCTGATTAGAATTGCTTTCCCATTGGTAACATCGATACAGGTCAAATTAATTTGATTATGAGAATTCAAAATAAAAATGAATAAAAAAAGTGAAGAAAGAAACAGTAATGTTCTCGATTTGAGAGATTTTTCTAATTTTCATAATCAAAAGGATGGAGAAAAAAATTAAGTGAAGACTTCTTTATTCACTACAATATCAACATTTTCGTAAAAAAAAAAAGTGAAAAAAAGTCCAAACCTGATTATTTAATATTAACTACTCATTAAATGTTAAGTATTCATTTCCTTTTTTATCCTTTCATTTGTAACATATGAATTACATATCAAATTGAATATTATATCTAAAAATTTCAAGAAATATTGTGGCAAATAATTATCCTTCCCCTCATATTTCAACTTCACCTGTTTTTGTTTATTTATTTTTCGTCTTTTTTTCTGCCTGTTTTTATTGATATAAACGATGTTTTGCACAAAAATACGAGTTAATTGTATTACAGAAACGTAATGTGTAATATGAATCAATGATCATCCTAGTAATAAGTCTACAATGATTCATTGTATATCATCTGAATATCTAATCACCTCATATCCATTGTTTAATCGATAAAAGATGGTCAATGATCAATTTTCCTTGCATTCCGAACGAACATCTCATCGTATGAATCCTTATATGTTTATGCAGATTCGATGACGCAGCGAAATCTTTTGTAGATATTTCGCTTTGAACCGCTTCTCACCTATGTGAATCGTGTGTTCATTCATTTTGGATATTTCCTTTTGATACTTCTCACACCAGAATTTCTTCTACTTTTCTCCTATACTTGTTTGTTCTTAATTCTTCAATTAGTAGCTTCAACGAGCTTACGTCATTCTGATCAATTTCGTTGAGTTCTACTTGTCTCCCACTCACTTCTGGCGTTGATAAACCTGATGGTCCAATTCGTTTCTCATTCATTCTTGACATTGACAAATCTAACGGTTCTGTTTGTAGCTCCTCAAATTATTTGAAATTATCAATTTTAAACTACGCCAAAATTTTGGAACCTTAGAAATATTGCAGCGTTATCTTCTATTTTTTAACTTTAAATGAGCTTACGATAGTTTGAGTGTCACTCAGTTGGAAGAGGAAGAAGATGAAACAGACGAAATGTATTTTGATGAGAGTGATTTCTTGCCAATTCTGAGAAAAATATTCAAATTTACTGATATATTGAATGGCTGTATATAAGAAACAACACCACCTGCTGTTTAATAACTGCGTAAAACTTTTACAAATATATACTTCTCTAAATATATTAGCATTGAAAAAAGATAGGTACGCATTTACGGCAGTATAATACGAACATCTCTCATTCAAACGTCAAACACAATAAATTGTTCATATTGGAGATTGATCGTAGGCACTCCAAAGCAGATTTTGTGCAAACTTTCCACAGTTATAAATTTGATAAAAAGATAATTTTGTTTAGAAAAAGTAGTGCTTATTGTGGAGTTCTAAGATCTCATAACTCAAAACTTTGAAAAATAGCTGACATTCTCTGTCGTAATAAATGAAATAGAGCTTACTAAACGAAATTTTATGAGTGGCAGTTTGACGGATACCACCCAATTACTTCTGTTAGGTATTGGCCACGTGCATCGATATTCTACGTCCACGTGTAGTAATGTAACAATAGCAATCATCGTTCAATCCTTTATAGTGAATAATTTCATTTCAGCTGCCATATTACATTGTGAAAAATAATTAATTTATGCAAAGCTCTCGTAACATTTTTTGTAATCTTATTTCATTTTGCTTCAATTCTTTTTTCCAAAAACTATTTTCAGCAAAATATTTCAGAAATGCCAATCACATTGGTTCGACAAAGAGAATTTAAACTGAGCTTGTGGACACTATGATAAATTGCAAAATTTAAAGATTTGCCCATTAACTAGACGTTAATTTATGAAAATTAAAGTGTTACACTTTTTCCTTTCATAAAATACATCAATTATTATAGAAACTTGTGATAATTCAATTGTCGTAAATTAACATTGAAAAACGGAATAGAAAAAAATTGGCAATCAACTACTATCCAGTTGCTATATTTTGATTTATTCCAACTTGCGGTATGACGTAATATGTTCATACTACATTACAGATCATTCAGTAATCACTGTGTCATTTCTAATTTATTTTAGAGGAACTGATGAGTAAAAGAAATTGGATTCTTGGTAGAACATATTGTTATCATTTAGTTAGTAATATATCAATGTCCAATTCATACTTTAAGGTAGATAACGATTGTTTCAGGGTAATTAGCATTCTTATCAAAGTAAGACGAAATAGATGAAATGCATTTTGACGAAAGTAGTTTTTTGCCAATTTTGAAAAAGAAAATTCAAATTTACTGGTATACTGAATGGTTGCATGTAAGAAACAACGTCGTCTGCTGTTTGACAATTGCGTAAAGGTTTTTCAAGTTGGAAGCCTTTCTGAAATACATGAATTTGCATTTGTGTCAGAAATAGAAGCATCCAAAAGTATGCTGGACCACCGATTATCATTATATTCCATTCAGGGAAAGTTATAGAATTTACACCACTTTCAATTATTTGCACTTTTTGTATTTTAATATAAAAATGCAATCCTATAATAAGTCTTTCGAACTGCCAGGACGATGAATCGGAAATTTTTGCCCGGAACTGAAAAAGACAATCAGTATTCCGCTAAAAATTCAAATGCAATGTTTTTTTCAGAAAAAGTATAACATTGAAGAGTAAGCAGTCTGGGACAAACAGATTTCACCCAACTTTTCGATCAATGACAGAAAGCTGATCGAATTTTCGACGTTATCTTCCAACTATTACTCATTTTACTAACATTAATCTAAGTTAGATAATGGGGGGTGAAAGGAGAAAATTTCGGTTAAATAATTAATAGTATGTTTAGCAGAATGAAAAAAAATTTTTTAAAGGAAGAAGAAAAGGAAATTTTCTTTTTCCTATTTAATTAATACTAGTTCGAATCAAATAATTAAGATAAAAGACGGAAAATTTGCTAAATAATTAACAGAAAAAGGAAAAAATTGGAGGAAAAATGATGGATGTGTATTTATTGACAGATGTTAGCAACATTTAAATAAATGATTTTTGCTCTTTTGGTTAATTTAATCCACAGTTTAAAAAATATATGCTAAAATTAGTGGAGCATAAAGCAAAAAGGAATTGGAAGAATTAAAAACAAGAATTATCTACTTATGATTTAAAAAATACAGAATATGGAAATGCTATGCTGAATAAACTGAATTTATGATCTATTGGTAGAAAATTGTGAAAAGATTTTCAAAAAATTCTGACTATAATTATAATTTAATTATTTACATATTCATTGAATAATTTTGACATTTAAAAGACCTTGTAATCTAAATTTAAAAAATAAACGATCCAACGCAATTTGTTATTCCGAGCTATGAAAAATGGTATAAGTTGAAATGTCAAACTTGAAAATATGGAAAAGAAATAATTGAATGCGTAATGGAATATATTCTTTTAGTAAGAATAAATCAAGAATTGTTTGTTGTTGCAATACATTAAAGCATTAATTGAAACTGAAATTTCATTCCAACCTTTGTTTCTTTTTCTTTTTGAATTGGAAATGAAGAATATTAACAAAAATAAACAAAAGATTTCGCTCTTATTACATCTATTGCAATAACGGCCTTTAAAACATTAATCTGCAGAAATAAAATTATCAAATTGGAAAAACACCTGCCAAAATTAGCAAAAACCTTAAATTTTCACGCAATTGGCCTAAAAATGAAGGGTTTTTTTTTTGAAAATTCTCATTAATCCATATTACTTTCAATGAAATTTTTTTCATTCATTCGTTAGTGCGTGATGTGATCGACGATTTTTTAGAATAATAATAATATCAGAGATATTTAAAAATGATCAAAATTGGCAAAAACCATATCATATACTATACCAAAATAGCCTGAAAATTGAGAATTTTTCGAAAATTCTCATAAATTCACAACATTTGAATGAATTTTTTTTTTGTATCTATTTCTCCTGCAGCAGCGAGAAATAAGCGGAGAAGCATAACTATACTGGAATTACAGTAATTCTTATCATCAGTGACATAATTCATCCATTAAAACAGGTAAAATATTCTTTCTTCAATTGAGAAATAGTCTGTAACGATGTACAATTGAGAGAAACGAGAAAATTGCGTAGGTAAAACGATATGATAACATGTTTTCATTGTTCAAAAAAATACGTTTTTCAAATGTTCCGGTCATTACCTGACCATAAAAATGATATGTAAAATTCTCTGTCACCATTCGACTATTTAATCAAGTCTTTGCTTCACTAAACAGCTTTTTTTGGGAGGGGGGGGGGAGGATTTGACTAGAATCCACTGTACTTAAGCTGTACTGCTGGTATTTGCATAATTATATTAAATTTAGTAGTTGAAATGCTTTGAAGAAATTTTGAAAATTCAATTGAAAGAAAAAACATGAAGCGATAGTTAAAAAATATATTTTGTTATTTTTTTTTTTTGTAGTTAATGTAATTTATATATTTGTATATATGGTTTGGAATAAATTATACTGTTGAGGAAACCATACTGAATTGGATGAGACATATGTCAATGATGTAATTTAAAGTTTCTTCCGGTCAAATAGGAATAAAACGGACAAAAATGATATAAACAATAGGACGGTATTACGATGAATGATCAGTTAAGTTTGATTTTCATGAATTTCACTGATGAAAACTTACAATTTACAAGAAATTTAACTAATAGATTTAAGGTCAGTTATCAGCGTAAGTCTTTTTGAAAGTCTTCTTTCTGTATATTTGAAAATAAGCATTTATTAACACTGAGCAAGATTACGTGTGATTTCCATCGATATAATCAAATGAAATGGATAAGAAAACGAAATATTTGGTATTAAATGCTTTACATGAAATATTTCTAATAATAAGTATTGAATCGTTTGAAATTTTCACGTATAGAAGGTAACGTTCAGATGTTAAAAATTACTTTTTGAATAGTTATTTGTTTATTTGGTAATGAATTCATCGATTATTTGAATATTTAACAATTAGAAGACTTAAATTGAATTGTTTTAAAAAAAAAAAAAGAAAAATGAAAGAAACATTGAAGGAACTGTAAAAATATCACTTCACATTTGCATATTGTTTTCTACTTTTAACAGTTAAAATTTACATCCAATGATTGATCAACTTATAAGGAAATGCAAAAATATTTTACAAATTTCCATATAATTTCAAAACTAATAATAACAAAAATATATTTGCATCAGATTAGAAATAATTAGATTTGTAAAATAGTGCAGAAGTGACTCGTTTAATGAATAATTTCTGTATTGAATAAATGTGTCAAGCACATAAGCAATAACGAAGGATTATATTTTGAAATACAGTCATTGTTATTGAGTGTTTTAATTTCAATTGTTTATAATTATTTAATTTTTTTTAATGTTTGAATGTTTTAATAGAGTTTCTTTTTTGATATAAAAATTCTTTTTGAATCCTTTATTTTTTTTCCCAATCATTCCCTTTTTTTTTTTGTTCATGTGATCATATTGCATTCACATGCACTTGTCACCGGAATCAATAATTTGCATAAATTATTCGCATCTTTTTTTCGAAACAAACATTTCATTTCATTCAGCACTTATTTTAAAAAAAAAGAAAAATGAAAAAATCAAAAATAATAGATGAAATGTTAAGATAAAAATCTGTGTCATGTGTCATTTGATCATATCACACATTTATCATTTTCTATCACATCATACAAATCACTTTTTTTTAAATAAAATGCTAATGAATGACGAGCAAAGAATATGTATTGATCGGAAAATATCACGATCATTTCAGTTAAGGGATTAGTTAGTTGTAATTTTTGCAACATAGCAAAGGTTGACAGGTAGAATTACTGAGACGGAAATAGAATGAAAATAGTTTTACGTTTGAAGAGAATCAGAAAAATAAGGATTTTTGAGAAGTGTCTATTTGGCTCAGTATACAAAAACCACACACACCCACGCACCCATACAACCACACACACACACATACACGCACATACACCTACACATATACACACGCACACATACATACACATACACGCACACACACACCCGCCCACACATCCATACACCCATACACCCACACACATACACACAAATACGCGTCCACCAACGCCCTTTAATCTTGACCACATCTCAGCGGTATTTCCCGGTCGAACGGATTGTGTTGTGGGATGTGTTGACGTGTTATTGCATTGTCAAGGGATGTGTTGACATGTTATTGCAAATCTCGCAATTTTCCCATCTATGAATTCCATGCGACAGATTCAGAGGTTACAATGTTCTAGTCACTAGTTGCAAATTCTCTTAATTTTTAAACAAAATTTCGAAACGTAAAAATTTTCGCTAATCTGATTCTGAAAACTAACAATTTACAGACTTAACCTTGTGTCAAAGGTTAGTAAACTTAACAAATAGTTTCGTCATACGCGTGAGAAGGAAAGAAAGATTCCTGCGTGTTTTCCACGTTTTATTTTTCAGGTTTAGAAAGTGAATAACTCGCGAAACATTGCTATGAAAGTAATTATTACAGTCATCCTTATCCTAATACAGGCTGCTATTTTGCATTCAAGTCATCATGATGTCAAAGCACCATATTTCAAATACAGTCGTGAAGCTAATGAAGGAGTAAGTTTTTTCCAAGTCAAATTTTAGCAGAATCTATCGATTAAATTGTAGAGAAATCGAAGATTTTAACTTTTTTTCATGTTTTAAAGGATTTTATCCAATGTTTTGTCCTTTTTTTTCTTGTAGAACTATAACAATTAATGCTATTTATGTATTGTTACTTTATATTGTCACTTTATGCTTAACTCTTTAGCATCTTATCAATCTGTAAATTCAGTTCCCTAGAGCCTTTTCTTATAGCATTCATCGAGATACAAAAGTTCAGATGTGAAATTTCGCCCTTTAGAAGGAACATCATCATGCACATCTCTCCGGAGTTGGTATCTTGTCGTCTCTAAGTATCTTGCCTCGTTTTAAAATTTGGATCTGAATTTGCATGTTCTGAATTGAATTATATGGTACGTAATGGCGGATCGTCAGTTAAGCATATCATCCGTTCATGATAAACAAGTTTAACGTATTTGAAACCAAGGTTTCATTTGAATAGATTACATACGATAGTGTGAAGCACTTTTATTATTTCAAAACTTACTATTTGACATCGGTTTTTACATTTTATATTACTTACACCAATTTTTTTTCAAGCAGAATGTTTACCATCATCAGCAGCAAATCAAATCAAGTCAACAAAATTATGAACCTTATGATCCAAATGGGTAAGTGTTTTCGTTGTTCCTCCCACCAGAGCTTTAATCCTAATACATCATCACATCGGTTTCTGTAATTAAATATTTAAAATGTGGTAAGATCAGAACATGAGCTACTTTTCAGATACTGACCCTTTGCTATAGCATACTAACGATATAAGCCCTTTCGGTAATTTTGGTGTAATATTACATATGGCATCAAAATTTGCTTGGAATTAAAAAATTCTGTCGTTTTACTTTGCTGATTTGCAAAGCAAGTTTTAAATACTGAGCTTGTTTCAAAAAAGCATTCATATTGAGTAAATCGACTTCCCTTTTAGGATTTTATCTTTTATGAATGATTTTCAAACACGTCTTTGGGTGTACAGCATTGGTTCAACATTTCTGATCAGCTTTATGCCATTTGTTTTACTGTCGCTAATACCTTTAAAGGTTAATGATTGTTGCATGTTGAATTACTAAGATGTAACAGGTAATGTTGATGAGTTTATTTTGATACTTTTGGAAAGTTTATGTTAACTCTTTTTCTCCTACAAAATCATTGAACTTTTTCAAACGTTTAGAAAAATCACTTACGAAAATTTCGTTCAAAAATGGATTTTCATGAAGTGAAATTCGAAAAATAATGTTGGCGTATACCTATAAAATCATCAGATTAATAATGAAGTGACTTTAGGCGAATACTGCAGAAAACGAACCAATGCTAAAACTCCTTTTGAGTTTTGGCTCTGGTGGTTTATTGGGTGATGCATTCCTCCATTTGATTCCACATTCACAACCCCATCATGACGAACATAGTCGTTCGCATACTCATTCGCATGCACATGGTAGTTCCGAGCATTCACATGGGCCACATGACATGACTGTTGGAGGTTATGTGTTAGCTGGTAAGGATCATTTTTTCCTGAATTTATTTTGATTAATTTTTCTTCCTATATTTTGCGTCCAGTATAAAATCTAACCTGGGGATTTCTCACGACGTCGTATTCTGAAAGATCACGAAAGAAACTTCTCGCATTCTCGTGTTTTTGATCTGTAATGTGAAAAGGCTATGTTAAATCGAATTTAAACTTGCAAGAGAAATCATGATTTCCAGGAATATTAGCATTTCTGACAGTTGAGAAGCTTGTACGCATTCTACGAAGTGAAAAGATACTTCATTCTCATTCACACGGTGGTAATGGCTCATCGTTTTCCGATGGCAAAAAGAAAATTAAGAAGCGGGAAGATGCTCGAGCTAGTAAGGAAAAGAAATCAGATGTTTCATCAGCTGAAGAAGTAAGTGTTATATTTGCATAACATTTTCTAATACTTTATTTCAAATAAATACTAGAATTATTCTGCTAACAGAAAGCTTTATCGTTTCGAAAGAGGCTCACGATATAAGTATTTTTTGATTTAATCAGGCTATAGACGGTTGCGAAAAATCAAATAATTTTAGTTTTTTGACTAGCTAGCAGTAATGATCAACATATTATAGAGTTTGAACAGTTGTTCCGATGAAGAGCATAAGCATTTGATAGAAAAAACAATAAACGATGAAATGGGTTTCAAAGTAGCAGCATACTTAAATTTAACAGCGGATTTTGCGCATAATTTCACGGATGGTTTAGCAATTGGTGCATCGTTTCTTGCCGGCACTACAGTTGGTGTTGTAACAATGATTACTGTGCTCGTACACGAGATACCGCACGAGATTGGCGACTTTGCGATTCTTATACAATCTGGTTTCTCCAAAAAAAAAGTCAGTATTTTTTTTTTCTTCCTTTTTATACTTCCATCGTTGAATCCGAATGTTGCTTAAATAAATAAACATGTTTCATTTCAGAATTCAGGTTCCGTTCCGATTTTTATTGCAATGCAAAATGTCGAAATAACGCTACTTTTTAGTCCTCTGAAATTACTCAACTTGTTACTGATATTTGAATAGTATATTGCGTATTGTCCGGTGTTTCATGTCAGATAGGCTTTCTCTTATTTTTTGATTGTTACAGGCTATGTTTGTTCAACTTTTAACAGCTTTGGGTGCTCTTACTGGTTGCATTTTATCATTATGTTCAACAAATGCGGATGAATTATCCAATGCAGCTTCTTCAAGTTGGGTAGGTTAACATCTTGACATTTTATTAGTATTTCTTAAGAATTTAATGAAACTCATGATTTCACAACCTTAGCTTAATAAATGAGTAGATTAAATAGGAAGAAATAGCAGAAGTTACACTGCTTTCAAGGGTCATGCGTGTAGCCGTGACCACGTAGTGTGACATTAAACATCAGAACAGTCTTTGTAGATTCTTATTTATAGAAAGACCGAGAGAGTTGGTTAGAAAGCGTTTCTTATTTTAATACTCGAAGCTTTTTCATCGAGAAAATTTAGTTCAAGAACTTTCTGCTTTTTGTTTTAGATTATCTCCTGTGCTTTCAGATACTGCCTTTCACTGCTGGTGGATTTATTTATATTGCAACTGTAACAGTTATTCCGGAATTGCTCGAAAATACTTCCACTTGGCAAAGCATTAAAGAAATAATGGCTTTGCTAACTGGAATAATGCTGATGTTTCTTATCGCTATCTATGAATGAAATGATGAGTGAAAATAGTACTGATAATAGTTATTTTTCGAAAAAGTTGCTTCTGTTTCTTATTAAATTGTTTATATATTTCATTATAATGTGCTTGTTTAAATTTGTCTTATTATTCCTATTATCGTATTCAAATTTGTTTAGTATTGTCCACAAATATACATTTTTATTTAAAATTGTTATTTCAGTATCACTTTGCTGCTTTCTTGTTTCCTTCTTTCTTTTTTTCTTTTTTTTTTTTTTGGTGTATCGAATTATTGGAGCTTATGTTAAGTAGGAAATGCATTCCAGGTTTTATTACAGTTTTGCTAGTGATAGGTACTGAATGAAAGTGAAATTTTATGAAATATCTTCTATACTCATTTGCGATGCATTTAATTTAAACTTTTTCTTTTATTGGTTTTAAATTGGGTGGAAGTTTAGAAATTTGTGATGAATTTCAAATACTTATGAAGTAAAATAAATACTTCTAAATTTTTGTTTTTTGTTGAGTTTAGAACTTTTAAAAAGGTGAGTCGTAGTGGTCGTTATATATCACATTCGACACTCTAAATGTTTTCCGATGAGATTTCTTTTTATAGCCTCACGGAGGATTGTTGGTTATAGTTAGGTATTGGATTTGGATATTTAAAAGAACGGGAAGAGTAATATGAGCTCATTATTTATATATATTTTTTGCAGTGGTTTTGATTCGCTCATTGCAATTCACTAATGTATAATGTTTATGAACTTGTGGACAGTTTTAGATTTACACTACACAATTCCAAAATGGATGCCTTTTTAAATCAATCAAAAAAGCAGGATAATGCTTCGACAACATTAATGGAAATTCCTTGGGTTGAGAAATAGTATGTTCCGAGTGTTATCTGTTACTAAAGTTGTCATATTACTAAATTCCAATCCAGGAATAATTCAATAAATCCATGTCCCGGGTGTTCCTTTTCCTTTCTTTATTCATTTTGCATCCGCCGAATGTTTCATTTAACTTAGTCTGGAGTATTTTTCGTTATCTAAAATTTTATTTTATTTTTTTTCTTGTTTTATTTTGTTTTATTTTATTTGTTATAATTGATCAAAATTCTCGAGCTTATGCTGCTTGCTTATTTCAGTCGTCCACGGAAAGTTGAGGAAGTAGCTTTTCAAAATGAAGTTGTATCGGTGCTGAAAAAAGTCTTGGAAGGAGCTGATGTAAGCTTTTCTTGCAATTCACCACATTTTACAGTTAGTTCATTTAGCATAAGTTCTTTTAATAATAACTATAAAGTGTAAAATGTTAGGAACCATTATTGCAATGATAAAACTAGAAATTAGAGAAAGAACCAAATAGGATTTTAATAAATCTTTTTTCTTAGTATATACAGTGTATCATTATAATAAATTTTTTTTGCATACAATTATTACTTAGTATTTTTCAGTTACCAAATTTATTATTTTATGGACCGCCAGGAACTGGTAAAACATCAGCAGCTATTGCATTGTGCCGACAATTATTCCGTAATACCGAAACATATCATGATCGAGTTATGGAAATGAACGCATCCGATGAACGAGGCATTAACATCGTTCGCAACAAAGTTTGTTTTCTTTCCTTTGATTTTATTCATTCATTTTGTAAATGCCGTTCCAAATAAGATTTGAAAATTTTTAAGCCAAATTCATTTCATAAATTTAAGCCCAAAGTTAAACAGGATGGTATAATTTGCCGATCGTTATGTTAAGTCTCTTTTGTGGATGCTGATATCTTTTAGTCATTTAATTATTTGCATGATCTAAATTGCGCTACCGGATAGCTTTTGCACCAATGATTTATTCGCAATTTTCGTTTCCAGATAAAAGAATTTGCTCGACGAGCTGTTTCATCACACTTACCAGATGGAAGTCCTGTTGTGGGTTTAAAGGTTTCTGCTATTTTTTAACATAAGTTTTTAATTTCAAATGTAGTATATAATTTGTCTTCCTAATATAAAGAAAATGGAATTCTATGTGATTATCTGTTTATTATCGTGAAGATTTCATATGCTAGCTTAATATATCATGAATAGAAGGATTGCGTTTAACATGACTCAGCCTTACCTGTTGTCAACCTACTTGAAGCGTTCAGTAAAGAATTACATATCTCTTTCACTCTTTCAAAAATATTCGATGATGAACCAATGAAAAAGCTATAATCCGAAGCTCTTTGATTCTTCCCTACATGTACTTTTCCAGTAAGTTAAAATTTAAATTTAAAAATGTTCAATGAATCTTTTGATTAGGTAATTATACTGGATGAAGCAGATGCAATGACTACTCCTGCCCAAGCGGCTTTACGACGAACGATGGAAAAAGAATCACGCACTACTCGTTTCTTCCTCATATGTAATTATATCACTAGAATAATAGATCCACTCACTTCTCGTTGTGCCAAATTTCGGTTCAAATCGATTTCATCGGAAAGTCAGGGAAAAAGGTTGCAAGTATTTTTTTTTTTGTTTTCTATATCATAAAGATATTCCATAATTTTACTGTTTTTACATAATCGTCATATTTTATGTTCACTTATTGCACTATTTATTGTTGCTAACTGTGATTAAAATGCAGTATCGAAATATTTCAAATATAAGATGGATTTATTTGGGTTTTCATTTAATTTTACAGTGAACATTTCTTATTCCCAATTAATTACCATGTATTATAAATTTATCAAGGAAAATTGGACGATTAGAAATGATGAAATTTCCTGGTTCATTATCTTTTTCGTAATTGAATTCAGCTCGTATAAGTGGTATTAATGATAGTGATACGTTGGGACAAATTCACTGCATTAAAGTTAAATAAAGAATATATTAAAATATTGCAGACTTGAATGGATTTGCCAAAATGAGAACATTGAGTTTGATCCGCTGGCGATCGATGAATTAATCGAATTATGTGATGGTGATATGCGAAAAAGTGTCACCGCATTACAGGTTAGGTTAATCCTAGTCTTACTGATAACAATTATTTATTGGTATCCATTTTATAAAATATGTCGATCTGAATAAATCTCACGAGACAGCTATTCTTTTGCACAACGATTTAGGCAAAGGAGAAAAATGAAACTTTGAAGTGGAAAAGGAAGATTTCAAATAAATGTGGGGTTTTTCGAAGTAAATTGATTAATTATTGAAAGACTTTATTGTTCTAACTTTCGAATTGAGAATTTTTTTTTCTTGTTGCAGACAATATCATCGTGTCATAAAAAATTACTTCCAAGTGATGTACGACAATTTCTTGGAGCTATACCGGATGATGTGGTAGAGCGATTCTTAACTGCATGTAGATCTTGTAATCATGATCAGTTGTATGCATGCGTAGAAAGTATCAGGCGAGAAGGATATGGCGTTTATCAGTTGCTGAAACAATTTTTCTACATATGCTTACATCTCGAAGACCTTACCGATTTAAAAAAGCTATGATATGCGGAAAAATTGGATTAAGTTTTATTTCTCTTTCTTTCTCTTCCTTATTGATAAGCTCATAAATTTGTTAAAATAGCAACGATAGTGTAGAGCAACTTTTTTAGTGTTTGAAGACGATAACAGAGTCTAACAGTCCTTTGAAACTTTGTGTCATCAAATGATTCATTTAGTAAATTATTGTTTTTTAGTGACTTTTTTTTTTTTAATAAAAGATCAGTTATATATGGAAGGTTATATACCATTCCTTCGAGACATAACCGCCCACGGTATTTGACCCTGAATGATCCTTTAAAAAGAAATTTTTTTTTTCGGTCGTTAGACAGTTCCATTCAGTGTATCCATTTGTCAAACTACTGGTTAGTGCTTCATAAATTACAAACTTTAATTGATGTCTTGTTTCAGGAGTGTGAAATGCGTATTCTGGATGGTGCAAATGAATTCCTACAACTACTCGATTTTGGGTCGGTTGTAATGGAACAGTTCAAAATGTCACTTTAAAATATTGTCATGCCTTGTACTGTATGATCTCATGAATCATTCACTCTACGGGAAGAGTTAGGTATATTTTCCAATTCCTGTAGTGCATTGTTCATTTGATCTCTCTTTTGTATTTGCCTTTGTGCTATTTTATGTTTCATCAATGAATGTAATTCTACTTGTCACTTAACTATTTCAAAATTTTTGAAATTAATGAAAAGCCATGAAATATGATGTTTTCAAAACGCTTCATGGCATTGCTAATTCCAATTTCATCATACCCAGAAAAAGGCTAAAACTTGGCTTTCATTTCTTTATTTCGTTTTTACATTGTAATAAGTTATTAATGCATTATTTTTTTCTTTTTATCAATTTGTTACAGATATATCAATTATGTACACGTAGAAATTACGAAATAATTAGTGAACTAAAATGTTTGCAGAAAGTATACAACATTATCATTTTCTTTCATATTTTCTCCATTTTTTTGTATTTACTGAAATAAAACTAAAAATATCTATAAAAGACTTTGTTTCAGTATTCTTTAGTTAAAAATTCACGAATATTTTATCTATTACTTCCATAAAATTCATCATCTATAAAAATTATCAAAACTTATAGCTTTTTCTTGGTTAAAATACAATTCTTATCGAATAGTTTTCATCAAGCATAATTTATTTCATACGATAACTTCACTGGAAATAATGATTAATCCGAAAATTTGATTAAAATTCATGTGGAACCTTGTGGAATTATACGCTGCTCTGTTGCAACCATCGCATCTTCCACACTGAAATGATTTGCAAATATTTTTTTAAGATTATGACAAGATTTTGTTGATGATTCTAGAAATATATGAGTGGAAGGTTTTAGAAAACATTGAAATACTCGAGAATATGAAGATGTTTCTTCGGATTCTTTGTCTCTCCTCCTGATCAATTTTCCAGGCTAAATTAAGAGATTGCATTTAACACATATAAAGGTTCAACACTTTTTATTGCTAAATTCGATTGAATTCTAGATTTTCTGAATTTAACCAAAATTTAGTCAAGGAAATTAGGTTTCGTTTTCAAATTCTTAATTTCAATCTTTCAAACTTAAAGAAATAATAAAAAAAGAGAAACCTAGTTAAGACAGATGTTGGGAAAATCATGCCATCAATGCTATCACCGCTGGGACTTTTTGGAGTGCTACATAGATCAGTTGATGATCGTCCACTATTGCTATTATGACCAGTTCGATTCTTCTTGTTACCTTGATATTTCTTTTGACGTGCTCTTGAATTCTACAAATTTTATCATTACTATTCATTCCTTAATTTTAATTGAAATGAATTATTGATAATATTTTATCAGAGAACAAAAAGAAAAGCTATATTGGGAAAATTTATAAAGAAGTATTAAAATAAATTTCAACTGATGTTATCAACATTTAAAATCTTTAACAATCTTTTATTTCATCCAAAAAAAAATGAACTCCAAGAATGATTTAACCTGGAACCAAACTTGTGTAACACGTTTACTTAGACCGGTCATTGTAGCAATTCGTTCTAAATCAGCACCATCCGGATTACTATCAATCTGGAAATGTGTTTGTAAAACAGCTAATTGCTCTTCGGCAAATGTTGTTCGGACACGTTTCGTTTTAGCTTTTTGTTGTCCTGAAATAATTTTATTTGCAAAAAAAAAATTTGTTTTCGAAGAAAAAAAAAAAGCAAAAAAGAAATATAATATTTAATTATTCTAATTATTAAAAAAAATATATATATTAAGTTAATAACAAAATTCATATTAATTAAATGCTTTCGAATAAAAATTTTTTAAAAGTTAATATACATACCACATTCTCCTTCAATTAATTCCATATAATGTTGCTTGCAAAGTAATCTGCAATCTTGCAATGCAAATTCTTCCCCTGTACTTAATTGACGTTTGCATTGATCGCATGCAAAACATGCAAGATGATAAACAAAATTTCGTGCACGTCTTACCCAATCAGTTGCATGAATTAAACGTTGACATGATGAACATTTTGTTCCAAATCGTCTAAAATAATTGATACTTTTTTTGCGTCATCAATTAATTAATTACTTAAAATGTTTGATTACTTACATAAACTTAATAAAGCATAAATTGAGATAATTTCATTACTTATAACAATAATACAATACAAATTATAGACAAAAATAATTCATGAGTAATTAGATTAATTGATAAATTTTAATTACCAGTATAACGAAATTTACACATATACTCTGATAAAAATAGTACTGATTAATTTGATAAGCAATTATCATGCGTTAAAAATAGATAAATTCATTATAGCTATACAGTATGCAGCTATATAGCAAAAATCATGCCATTTACTAATTGATCAATTGTCACAAAATTGAATGCTACAGTACTTATATACTTGAATACTATTCGTACTTTTGCAGTATTTAAATACCAAATATTGCCATCATTTGTTGGTTGCTGTGTATGAAATGGAATGAATGTTTAATTAGTTTTAGCAATTTCCATGCATCTTTTTAAATAATATTTGTTATATCGAAATTCTTGGTATCAAAATTCAAATTCTCGGAAGTAAAATTCAATTTTGCAGAATTAAAATCTAAATTTTTGGAAGTAGGACTCAAATTTTTGGAACCAAAATTCAAATTTTTGAAACCGAGATAGCAATGAATTCGAATTATTAATATTTGAATAAATTGATTTGATGCATTTCCATATGCATATGAAATGATACGGTTAAGCATAGTAATTCTGCTAATCACAAAATATTCTTAATTATACTCAAGTACTTAAAAAAATAATATTTCTGGCATCATGCTATGCTTTTTTGATAAATCAGAACTTGTATTTAATCGGAATTTGTACTTGAATTGATTTTTATCAATAACAATCATTTGTAACGCATAAGAGCTATAAATTCAATTAATTTTTTTTTCGTTATTGAAATTTTTACTGTGAATGACATTTGTGAAATATTTTACTTCAAAATCATGTATTGATAAAATTTTATAAAAATTTGAAAGATTTTTTTTTTTTTTGATAAATCAGAATTTGCATTTAACAGTTATTCAGGCAATAACTGTTAAATGCAAAATTTCGATTTAGCCAAGAATTTCATGCCTTAGCTTCTTCGTACCAATCGAATTTTAAAATTTAATTAACAACTATTATTAGTTGAAATGGTAGGAAAAGGGACAAGATTGGGCCAAAAAGAGAAAGAGGAGGAGGATTGAGCCAGAAGAAAGAGGAGGATTGAGCCAGAAGAGGGAGGAAGAGGAGAAGGATGAATGGAAGGATAAAATGTCACAGTTAACAATTAACAATAAGCTTGTTACATCATTGTAATCTTTGGTTCTATTAAATTATACGCCTATTCTAGGAGCTTAAGAAGATGATTGGACAGATGTCCTATGAGTAATCCAGATTTATATCTCTTGCTACTATTACTACTACTACTACTACAACTACAACTACAACTACCATTAAGATGACTTCGGATAACAAACTGGTAGATGACAACTTTACAATCATGCATATGAAAGATATTTAATATCAATAGATTATTAAAGATATTAGTGATTGATTTGCTGGTTAAGCAAAAAACTAAGCAAGTAAATTGATAAGAAATATCGGGATTAGAGGTAAAGCGGGAAAAGGGAGAGGTTTAATTTGGAAAAAAGAAAGGGAAGAAATTTAATGAAATTATGACAAATTACAAATGAATGATTGAAATGTTAATTTATTGTTTATAAATATAAACATCGATTAGCTAGATATTAGTCAATGATTAGTTGTTGAAAAGATCTAAGAAAAAAAACAACAACAACAGCAACAGAACAACAACAAAACAACAACAGCAACAGCGACAAAACAATTACAACAACAATAACGACGACGGCAACAACAACAACAACAACAACAACAACAATAACAACAACAACAACAACAACAAACAAGACAAACAACAACAACAACAACAACAAC